TTCCTGCACTTGGCGCACAGGCACAAAAGGTTCTTAACCACAACAACTTGTATTTATACAGCGCTCTTCACGCGGGGCAGGGTCCCAGAGGACTTAATGGTGTCCTAGGAACCACAGGAAAGATTCTAGCATGAGTCTTGTATGCACAGTGCACCTGAAATGATGTTAGTGGCAAACTGACAAGCCATAATTGTCTGGACATTTTTATAGCAGGTCCCATTATAATATGGGATAAGTCTGTGGACTTATGGACATAGGTTTTATGGACACAAAACACTGGGGTTGGCCTGTATATCTATCGCATCAGAAATCAATTTGAATGTTTCTCTGACTAAGCACTGGAGCCTGGTAGCTGGGACTAGTCAAAATGACCCAAGTGCCGAGCGTTCGAAACCAACTCCAGTTAGTCTGATTGATAATGAATGAAGTTTAGTAGTTTGCTGCTGTGAATATCAAGAAGGATTAACAAGGTTCACAAACATATCGATTTAACTTTCCGTTCTGCTCGTGCAGATCAATTGAGAATCCAGCTGCAAAAACATTACATTGCCCGCACTCAGGCTGCCACTCACGTTATTGCAGTGTATTATAGTGTATTTCTCGTTGATGGCGTCTATTGAAATTGTGTTTAATGAAACCGTCAAACCTTTTTTTAAAAAAATTTGGGAGCAGTGACAAAAGCATTGGGATGATGTAGGGGGAGATCCACAGCTGTGTAACCTACATAGATTATATGATCGAGTGGGATCATGATCAAATAAGAGTAAATGACCGATCAGTAAAATGGTATTAAAACCCAGGGGCAGTCCTGGAAGCTAATGCACCGTCAGGAAGAATGTGGTGCCACAATACTAACAGTGACGACAGTTATCTAAACGGCGGAGATTGGAAAGCAACCATAACACAAATGTTCACTGTCCCATGCAGGAAAGTGACTGTTTGTACAAGAGCCTGTAAAATTGATGTACTCCTTTCAATAGAGAGCAGCGAACTAACTACAAGACAGCTGCCACTTCCCAGCAGTGAGTGAAACATGACTGCAAAATATCAGCAACATTTGCACAGAAAGACAGCAGTCAATCAATGCAGGGAGACAGACAGCAATAACCCTTGCATTTTTGATACAGGGCCTTATCACGTCGTTGAGACGTCTCAAAGCGCTTCACAGAATATACTGTAAAATAGATTGACTGTATTTTGTGGGCAAAACGCAGCAGGCAATAGCACACAGCAGCGTCCCACAAACATTCGCGGACTGAATGACCAAATTATTATTATTATTATTATTATTATTGTTTGGGGGGGAGGGATTACTACTCCTAGAAAGCGATCCACCAATCGACGAGCAACAGCGTTCTTACATACTGCTAAGTAAAGAAGTCTGTGGAGTGAGGACACTTGCCAAAGGTTTCACCTTGCCCGGGAACTGAACCCGGGTCCTCTCGCTTGCGAGGCGAGTACCCCCAACCAATACTCACAATACAGAGACACCGACAGCAGATAATCAAATTTAAACTATGTAAGAGGAGAATGGCGAGTAATTCATGCTGTAACATTTCTTTGTTCAGTTTTAATTTGGCCAAACACACGCAGCAAACGTGAAACGCTGAACCAAAGGCAAGATTCCAAGCGAGTGTTTTGAATGTTTTCCAATGTGTGTTTTGAAGCGACGTTGTATTGTTGCAAGAGCAGAAGTGCACACGAGTATGAATACAATTTACATGTGTACCGCGCCTTTCACGTTGGGAGGATGAACCATACATAGCACTGAAGTGCATACATATTTGGACCCATCTGAGCACTCATCGCGATACAGATTAACAACTGGGGATTAGAACATTCATTCATCTATTTTGTGTCTCGTGGCAATATTAAGGCCCTCCAGTGAGATAGCTATATATAATCTATGTAGGTTACACAGCTGTGGATCTCCCCCTACATTATCCTAACAACTGATCTAAACTCCAACCTTGGAAAAGCATCTACATCTGTAAGTGTGACATTTCCATTTCCTATGCTTTCAATCCTAATGGCCTCTCTGCGAGATTACTGATGCCAATTAGAACCAATTCATGTGCTTGGTAATTATATTCTCTACATAATCAGAATAGAGAGGTTCATGAGGTGCCTTTTAGAGATGGATTGTTGGCACTTAGATAAAAAAGTGAACAATTTGCCGGTTTATCAGAAAGTTTCGTTAATCCCAGTTTCAACTGACTTCAAGCTCCTCCAAGATGCAACTTTGTGAAGCGCACAAGATTAATTGGCTCCATTTTAAAGGAGTAAATAAACTTCTGGAGAGGCAGACAGGAGGGGGAGGGAGAAATTTGGAAAAAAAATAAACATATAAACAGGACAAATGAAACCCACAGCATCAACACAAACAACAGCCCCTCCAACGGAAAAAGAAAATAAACAAACAAAAACATATCAATTATTTAACAATAGAAACAGCAGATTCAAGTAACAATGGAATCAATAGGCCATCTGAATACAATTAAAAAACCCAGGTGAAAGAATAACCCTGTTAAAACAACAGAACCTTTTATGTGTCTATTGTCTAGTAAGTATAAAATAATGATAATAGAAGCCCAATAATACTGACATATCGACAGTGATATTTAGCGCCACATGAATGCAAAACCCCCAATATATCAAAGTATATACCACATCCAACAGAAGCAAAATACTACATGTTCGAACATTAATAATAGATTAATGTACACATTGCATGCAATTAAAACAATCACACAAATCAAAACTGTAGACCCAACGCTACAAAGCAACAGAGCCAGTGAGACTAATGGAGCCAATACACTTAACGTAGGAGACGAGAAGTATCAGAAATGACTCAATTGCCCCAGTTAGACAACAGCCTAAGTGGATCAAGTAGAAACGATATAATCTACAATAGGTAAGAAAATAGGTCCAATTAAACCAGTTGAGAAACAACAGAATCAACTAGAAAATACATGCAACAAACTATATATAGAAACCACAGATCCAACAGAAATATTACAACCAGTAAAACCCCAGCATTATTGACTTAAGTTACTTTTATTCTTGAAACAGCTGAACACAAGCATATACAACATGATGAATCCAATCTCTCTCTCTCTCTCTCTCTCTCTCGCGTTCCCAATATGACCATATCCTTCTGCTCCATCTTGAATTAGGTTTCCATCCATTCATTTCTTTGTGAATGTTTCAGACAATTCCACATTTGTTTCACAAGGTGGCAGTCACTCCATAAGGCTGATTCTAAATGATACTTACCCATTTAAGTAATATTGTTATGAAGTTGTCTTACAGTTATGTCTCTTGGTACTCTTCTCCTGATTCAATAGGAAGAACTGGTTTCCATCCATTCAATTAATTCTTGGCCATATCAACTGTTCCCCCTCCCCTCTGCTCAGTGGGCTCTGGCCTGCTCCACATCCCCCGCCTGTCCCACCATCAGCGGTTGGACCTTCAGCCACTCTGGCCCTACCCTCTGGAACGCCATCCCACATTCCCTTCACCTCGCTTGCCTCCCTTTGCCTCATTCAAAGCCCACTTCAAGAACCTCCTCTTCAACCACACCTTCAGCCACCCTCCTACTCCTACCATCCCTGCCCTCCACCCCTCCCGATCCCACCGCTTCTGATCCCAACCCCCAGCTCGGGTCCAAATCTCTGATTGTCCAGTGCCTTGGGATGAACCCCCGACTTGCGAGGTGCTGTGTAAATATCATTTGCTGTTGTGGTTGGATAATGTTCCCTTATTTCAGCTTTACATTCAGCAACAACAGCTCCAGCAACCATAACATCTTACTGTGTGTCCATTTATTATATTAACATTACCATCACAGCATTCTGATGCATTCGATTAAGGACATTGCTACAAACTGGGCCTAATATTGTCAGTTTAACCTCCTTGGAGCTTGATTAATTAATACCTTCAAACCAGATAACGCACATTCAGTCTTTCCTTCGTGTGCATTGACATTATTATTGGCAGTCAGGGCAGCACCGAAAAATAAAGCAATGAAGTCGATGAATGTTTGGCATTACTGTCTCAAAAGTTAAAGGGTCTTAAGCTCTAATATTAGGGAAGGAGTTATTTGATTTGTTGAGTATGGTGAGCTTGGGGAAACAAAATCAAATGCAGAGACCGAATGGCTTTATCAATTTATTTTATTTACTATCGTTCTGCCTCAATGCATTAGAATGCATGATGAGCATCATATGCAGTATAGTCTCACCCTCAGTTAAACTGGAGGGTGGGCAAAAAAGTCACTTGGTGATAGAGAAAATGAGCCTAGGATTTTTTGTCATCACAATACATAGATAGAATACATCTGAATATTCTTGGATTGCAATGAACCATTGAAATTATATGACATAACTGGTTAACGTCAGCACACAAGTGCTATTCTAGTCTTCGAAGAGTTAACTAAAGTCATTCTTTTCTTGCCCAAACAGAGCAGCTTTCCTAGTTCCTTGGTTCTGTATTAAAAAAAATGCAAACTCATAACCTTCCACCTTGCAAAGAGGAAAACAACTTCACCTTAAGGCAACAAATCCAATCGACAAATACCAGCAAAACATTGGCAAACACTAGAAAGCATCAAAAAACAGTGACACACATCGGCAAATATTAGCATTAGCGAAAACCAACAAACAACAGCATATAGCAGCAAACAAATGATTTTGTCATGAATCTCTGGCAGATCTAACTCTTTATGACATGAAATAAGCTGTGCGGTACAATCCCAGGCGTGATTTGAAACTGCAGTCCTATAGACCTTTCGCAAGGCATTGATGTACACAGTGTCCATTTCTACTGGAGAAAGTAAGTTAAGACGGTAAATAAAGTAAAAGAAACCGGGATTATCTTTCTTTCTTCAGCAAGTTAGAATGCCAAGGCAACGGAACAGCTAGCGTCACCTGAAGAAAAGTGACGTCCACAAAACCTGAAACATCTCCTCCGACAACCAAAAAAAACACGAAGGGTCATACCTTCACGTCATCTTGCCATCGATGTTCCCTCTGAAACTCCTCTGCAGCCTTAGCCAGTCTCTGCAAAAACAGGAGGGGAACGAGTTAGGAAAGAAGGGCTATACATTTTCAGGGCAGGGGACATTTACACGGCAGCGAGCCTTCAAGGAGCACTTGTACCAAAGACCTGCGAAAAAGTAAATGACTGAAATGAGGAACTATAACTCCCCTTTGGGCGGCAGTGGAGCTAACTGTTGCCGGACACACGGATAGTGAGCAGAATTCTGCACTGGGGGCTGCCGTGTGGCGATAAGCACAGTCCCCAAATTTACGCGGTGCTGGACCAATTGGAGAGCTTGTGAATTTGAACCAGGTTTTTCTTCCCCGGTAGCAGTAAATATTTGATACAGACACACGCACCATGCACACACATACACACGCATGCACCACGCGCGCACACACACACACACACAGCAGTAAATACTGCAAGGTGCAGGAAAGCGTTCGCACCCCAGTGTTGCTCATCGGATTTGCTGCTTGCCACCTGATAAACGATGAGCAACATTCATTGTACTGAGACTCAGCTTTTCACACTGTCCACAGACTTGGGTCTTCTGTTTAACGTTACCAGCATTTTCCTAAATAACTGTAGTGCAGGCCTGGAGTCTTGCCCCTGCATCAATGGAAAAATAATAATAATAATTTGGTCACTCAATCCACGACTGTTTGTGAGGCACTGCTGTGCGCAATTGGCTGCCACGTTTCACCCACATAATAATAATAACAATCCTCGCATTTGACACAGCGCCTTATCACGTCTTCGAGACGTCTCAAAGCGCTTTGCAGGACATACTGTAAAGCGAATTGACTGTATGTGTTGTGGGCAAATTACGTACAATGTTAACTTGTTTACAGCTGTTTCTCCTGCATATCTATCCACCTAACTCTGTTCCACTTACGCTTGTATTGAAAGGGAGTTTCAAAGACACTTTGTGTAACACAAGGAAGCGGGTTTCATAGCACCAGCTGGAAACTGGCTATGTGGGCGTACGCACATGGCCAGAACAAAGTCTATTTTGGCAACGGCATTAGTTTTCTGGTCGATAGAACGTACCTGCTCTCTGGGGTTACAGGCCAATATAGAAACAGCACCAACAACAACAACAGCTTGCATTTGTATAGCGCCCCTCACGTTGGGGACTAGCACCAACCCAGGACTAGAGAAAAGTGGTGACAAAACATCACCGCAGGCGTTGGGACGCTCCCTCTTTATCTCGCTGCCTCCAAGCCACGTGGAGGAAAAGTACATCTCAAAGTGGTTCTCCATTTGGAGGCCGCAGTCGCAGATCATTTGTCTTCCAGGGCTGCCGACGGTGACAAAGATTGTAAGATAAATGTGGCATTAATCTGTCTGTCACTATCTCAGACTCGCACTTGCTCTTTCTGTTTCTCCCAGCCTGATTTGATTTCTCTTTTTTTCTCCCCTCTCTCTGTCGTTTCATATCTTTAACTTCATTTGATTCCAGCTTTTGATCACAAGTAATTAACATATTTAACGTGTGCCCAAGGCTTTGGGTGTCTACTAATATTAAAGCTACTGTAAAGGGAAGCTTTTCACTCTGTGTGGACTGTAGGCTTGAGGAACAACCATTGCAAAGTCGTTCGAAAAACAGAAATAATAATAATCAATAAGAATATACTGTGAAGTGAATTGATTTTTATGGGCGAAACATAGCAGCCAATCGGCCAATCGTAAACCCAATAAAATGGGGAAAGGTAGATGGAAAGAGTCTACAGAGCCAACGGCACTCTAATGCAGAGACAGAATAATATCTGAATCCTGCTGTATTGCAAAACCAATGTCATCAATATTACAAAAAAAAGTAAATGGAATTACCAGTGATAGATTCATAAATGCAATTACTTTCCTGCCAGGGTGCTGCATATCAGCAGAACTGCACGAGCACGGAATGTCACAGTTCACATCAGGGTGGATAAACAGTTTAAGGAGCTCAGAGGATTGAGTGCATCTTTTTATGCAGGAGAGAATATAACTACCAGGTCAGAGGCAGGAAGAAAGTAGCACAAGGACAACGTACGCTATTTTTGACACCTTATGCCTTCAAGGTCATCACCCGCTGGACCCTGGCCTTCCAAAGCTGTTAAACATACGCCTTGTGAAAGATGCGTTGATCATTTGTTAGAATCCAAGCAGGAAATCTAAGAAGAAGCATTTCTCCTTCAATTAGAAACAGACCAGAGGAAACAGCGAGGAGGATTTTCGGTCCAGTACTTGGATGATAGTCGATATTTTCCTCTTCCGTCTTGGTACGTTCCAATGAAACTTGACCCAGGACTCAAGAGAGTTAAAAGAGAAATATGTTGGCTTCAAAGCACTACCTACAGCCTTTTTGGAATTGAGAACCCACGAAAATTGAGAGTTCAACAGCGTGAATTAAAAATTCCACCTTATACAGTCACCAAGTTTCAAACGAATAGGAAATAGGTTCACGCAAAGTATGAAATCCAATTTTCAACTTCAAAGATCAGCACAGAGATTTAGTAATGCCACTCAGTCCTAATTGCAAGAGGAATTTGTTTCATTTTTGTTATCGTTCAATAATTTCAATGAATGAGGAAATATGACAGGACATAGAGTGAACATGTAAACCAGAGGTCACAGAATATATATATATATATATATATAAAAAGAAATCGGTTTTGGAAAAGGAATCCAATTAACAAAGCTAAAGAAAGTGCTTCTAATTAAGGTGAATAAGAGCAGAGAGAGAGATATAGAGAGTCTGGAGATTTTACAAGGCTTTGGGATCCATTTTTTGCAGTAACAAAGTAAATTGACTTGGAGTAAAATTAGTCCTTAGAGTATTATTAATCAAGCGGAACTGTGGCAATCTCACATAATTCATTAGATACGCAGACTGGATAACAATAGAGCCAATTTAACCAATTCACCACCGCCCCTCCCCCCCTCCGCCCCCACCACCCCTCCAAGGTTCATTTCGTATCAATTGTCTTTACGTTCTGAATCCGTCTTAAGTAAGGTGAGAGACTACAAAGGAGCAGACTCAATTCAAGGTGGACAAATCAAAGTTTTTATTGAAAATACTGGGTATTTACTGGCAAATCTGGAACTCTCTCCCCCAAAAGATTAAGAATGCTGGATCCATTCACAATTTCCAGACTGGGGTGGTTAGATATTTGTCAGGTCAGGGTGTCAAGGGATGTGGGGCAAAGGCGGGAAATTGGAGTTGAGATACAGATCAGCCCTGATCTTATAGAATGGTGGAACAGGCTCGAAGGGCTGAATGGCCTCCTCCTGTTCCTATGTTCCGAAAATATCAAGATAGAATGAGTGACTTGAAGCAGGAGCTGAGAGCGCTGGGACTGATGGACACGAGAAGACGGTGAAGAGCCATGAAAGGCCAACATTCCACTCAGTGCTGCTGTCCCCCCGGTGCCGAGTGAGATGCTTCCTTTTCTAATAATGGTATCACGGACTACGCTCGCAAAGTGTTTCTGTTTCAGCCGTTCTATCGACTCAAGGGGGAAGTGTATCTGGTACTGCACCAGCATGAACTCATCATTGATTGGCAACGGTTTGAACGTCCTCCAATATATCAAGAGCATTGTGATAATTGGTCAAATTATTTTCATACGCATGCTTTGTTTCCAGCGCATTCAAAAAACTATAATGGCCATCATCCCAGGTTGCAATAGATCTATTATATCCCTAGGAGTCAAGGCGAGATCTCAATGGGGACATGGGCGTAAATATTTCACTCAGGAATTGCAAGAATTCTGGGGTCCGCATTTACTGTTGCGAGTCTGAACTGAAGGACACACATTAACACACCATGAAATTCTATGTTTATAATTCATGAAGTGCAACATCAAAGGAGTCTGTGGATGGAGAGCACCAGGCACTCGCTGCAAGCTTCATTTCTAATGAATTTTAATGTTGCTTCAAGTGACACGAGGCTGACGAATCTCTATCCTTCACTGTGCTCTCATATGTTTTTTTTTCCTGTTGGTTTCTCTAGGCTGATGGCCAGTGGCTGAGACAGATGGGCCTACAATCTGTGTAACGTTCCTCCTGTCTGTAAATCAGGACTGACACCGCTCACAGAAAAAACTGCTCCAATCAATGGGCTGTAAGAAACATCACTAACAGGTGCTTTCATTATCCCTCTGATATTTTTATTGACACCGCAATTAATTAAGTTATTAGCAATTACATGACCTGACACATTGGAGGAGTCCTTCAAAAAGGCTCTGTAGGACAACAGAAAGTCATAGGATTATAGGAACGTAGGAACAGGAGGAGGCCATTCAGCCCTCCAGCCTGTTCTGCCATTCTATAAGATCATGTCTGATCTGTACCTGCGAGGGCGAGGGGTCGAGGGGGGCAGAGAGAGAGAGAAGCGGAGAAGATTACTGACAGTCTTTAAAATTGAAAAAAAATGGATAAAGTACCAAATCCTACTTCACCTAAAGTGAGAAGCGTAGGAGACAAGATCCGGTAAATTAAGGAGCAGCAATTGAATAATTGCCAACTTTGGATTGAAAAGATTTTAAATTGCAGGGCTGAGGATAAACTCAGCGAGTTAAGGATAATTGCGAGGTCCTGGGTAAAGATAAATGTGTTCGAGTGAGAGGTGAGATACTTGGGAAAGGAAGAGCACGGTGGACAATATTGTAGAACCTTAGCAGGAAAAAATGAGAGGAAACAACGGCCAAAGTAATCGCTGTCTATTTTAGTCTGTTGTCTGGATATTTCCATTCTTCTTACAGAGCATTTCAACAACCTAAATCTCTTTGTAAAGCCTCTAATATGTCATTAGTTCTCATTTGTTTCGCATCTAATATACTTTCACATATTTTATACCTGTATCATTTCCTTTCTGGCACAACAATCCTTTTAAGAAGCCGACCCCATTCATTCATTCATTCATTCTTCTTCTGGTTGTATAATTATGATCTGTCATCATTCCGGATTTAAATAATCTCTGAATTACTGATTTTTTTTTCGCTCTAACAAAACGGCTGATGATTATTTAAGT